GCCAAGGATGTGGGAGGGCTGTGGGGGCAGGAACCTGCCTCGTACACTGTCAGTGTTCAGTAAACAACCATTGAAGAATTCATCCAAGTCTTAGGTGAGTAATTAGAGGCCTCTGCAGGTGCATCCCAGGAGGGGGTGGGCAGAATGGGTCAGAGGCAATGGCCGCTCTGTTCACTCAGTCCTCAGGGGCTATGTCTTACCTGGGGTCAGGGCACCCTCTCCCCTCATTCTCTCATCCCCCAGAGAAGCCCTAAGGCATTAGAGGAGGCTGTTCTGGGACTCAGATGTCACTAGAGGCCCTGGGGAAAGAGCTGATGAATACAACCACAAGTCATGCTAACCTTAAGCTGTTGTGTCCTTCCCAAGCATACAGCCCACAGTGTGCAGTGTCTCGCCAGTGAATTCAAGCCAAGGGTTGGGATGGGAACAGAACTGTGGGAAAGAGGGCACAAGTTTTCCAGAAGGTGCCAGTGACCTTGGGCAAGGTAGCCTCCAAAGTTAGACGTGCAGAAGCCTCATGAAGCTGGGGAACGCTCCAGCCCCTAGAGCAGGGGGGCTGAGAGAGGACCAGGAGCTTTCCCTTGGTGTGTGTGTGTGTGTGTGGTGGTGGCAGGGGGCTGTCATCACCTCACAGGCCATCTCTGCACCGGGTTGAGCTGAGTTAGTAGAGTAAGGAGAGGGACCGTTTTGATCAGTGTCCTTGTTGTAGCACGTATCCCAGACCCTGGCTGCTCAGCTTCCAATCCAGCTCCCCGATAATGTGCCTGGGAAGGCAGCAGAAGATGGCTCCCCCGAGGGGAGACCCAGGTGGACTTTCTGGCTCCTGGCTTTGGCCTGGTCTAACCTTAGCCATGGCAGCCAACTAGGGAGGGAACGAAATGGGTTGTTTTCTTCCTTTCTTTCTGACCCTCCCTTTCAAATAAATAAGTAACAGAACTTTTTAAAAGGAAATTGTTTTCCTTAGGCTTTGGTAGCTTTGGGAGGGTGGTGGGTGGTGGGCTGCTGCTGCCCTCGGGGCAGTGCCTCCCTTCCTACAGCCTCAGTTTACCACCTCTGTTTCACCTTACCATCATTGCTTTCAGAGTCTACTGTAAGACACAAGGTGGGGAGGACAGGTCACACTGGATAATCACGCCTTAAATGCTGCTATAGCCCATTGCCTCTCTGCCCAGGCCACCAGGCCACTTGTCATCCTGTCTAGTAAAGATAATTGCGAGTGCCGGCCTCCCAGCTAAGCTGAGTGAGCTGCCAGGGCTGCCAGTGTGTGTCCGATCCTTCTGTTTCATCCCCAGTGGCAAGCATGCTAATACCCACGCCCTCTTCCTCCTCCTTGTCACTGTGCTGGAATCTGTGCATCTCCAGCGTGTGAAGGTGAATGATACAAAGAGACCACGGTGAGTTTCATAGTAATTAGCTCTGGGAGAGAGCTCTCCCAGCGTGAACTGTTGCTAAGATATTTCGCTCTGCTTCTTGGATCACATCACAGTGTAAGAGAGAGAGAATTCCACATCTTAATCATGCTGGTTCCCAATAAGCTACACCAGCATCACTGCTGAAGTGCCTGGGCTCACGTCCTGGGCTCACGTCCTGTCCTGGATGCACATCCTGGGTGCACATCCTGGTTCTGTCCCTGATTCTAGCTTCTGCTAGTTGGGCACCCTGGGAAGCAGCAGGTGGTCCCTGTCCCCATGTGGGAGACCTAGGGGACACCCCTGGCTTCAGGCTTTGTGCTTAAGAAGACTCCATAAGGAGTTGGCAAATGAATGAACGGCTTCTGACCCTTGCAATACCAGCACTCAGCACTTGTGTTTATCGAATGATGAATCATTAAACAAGGGGAGGGCTCTCTGGAATGTCCATTTTAACAGTCTGAATCAACGGAGACGGTGTAGCACCGCAGGGAGTTAGACAGGCTCTGGAATCGGGCAGCCTGCCTTTGAACTCAGCTCTTACACTAAGCTGGCTGACCAGCCTAGCATGAGGTTCTGATTCTCTCTGTGCCTCGGTTTCCTCATCTGTAGAATGCAACAGCACCTTTTCTGGTAGGATCACATAGCTCATCAGAACTGCTCCTGAGCCTGGGTTCAAAGCTCAGCTCTAGTTCCTGGTTCCAGTTTTCCAGCTGATGCGCGCCCTGGGAGGTGCTTCAGGCAGGTGCATACCTGCCACTCCAGGCCTGGAATGAGTCCCCCAGCTCCCAGCTTTGGCCCAGTCCAGCCCCATCAGTCATTGCAAAAATCATTTAGGAAGCGAGCCAGTGAATGGAGGCTCTATCTCTGATTCTCAAATAATTTCTTAAATGCACATTACATAGCGCAGTTTCTCAGACATCATTGCTGCTGCAATTTATTTTTAAAGATTTACTTATTTGAAAGGCCGTTACAGAGAGGTGGAGGGGAAAGATAGAGAGAGAAGGAGAGACACAGAGAGCTCTTCCCAGCTGCTGGTTCACTCCCCACATGGCCACAACAGCCATGACTGGGTCACTGAAGGCAGAGCCAGGAGCCTCATCTGGATCTCCCATATGGGTGCAGCGAAACCATGTTCTGCTGCTTTCCCAGTCCATGAGCAGGGAGCCGGATTGGAAATGGAGAAAAGCCAAGACATGAACGGAGACAATACTGGCCCTAAGGTTAACAATCTCGAATAGAGCCCAGGTGTGCTCAATTCTTCTCACCCTTCGAAGCTCTATTGAAAATCAACTCCTGCTAAGCAAAGCCCTTTTTATCCACAGCCCAGGGCAATGGCTCCTCCTCCCACAGTCCTCACCGCTCACTGGACATAACTTTCTTCTAGCCCTGACCCATTGTTTCTTCTTTAAAAACTACATACTGGGCAGGAACTGTGTGGTAGGTGCCCAGTAGGCAGTGAGTAAATGTTCTTTGAACCAATTTGCTCACAAAGCATTTGTAAATGGATTTTTATTGCAAGTCAGAGAGATAAGGACAGAGTTCTCTCCCATCTCTTGGTTTAGTCCCCAGATGCCCACCAGGTCTAGGGGTGGGCCAGGCTGACGTCAGGAGGCAGGACCTGCAGGCAGGTACTTCCTGATTTGAGCCATCACTTCCAGGAAGTAAGCCTGGAGACTCTGACATGAACATCAGGTGTCTGAACCCACAGGCCAACTTCCTGCCGCCCAAAGGGACAACGGTTGCCTCACACCTGTGCTGCGGCCCTCTGCTCTTGCTGTCCTTGGCTGTGCCTCTTACTGCCCGGAGCTCCTCTGTGTCCCCAAAGGCCCAGGCCTCAAGAAACTGGGAAACCCACTCGATGCACCCCCAGCTAAAGATGTTTTCAGGATTGTCGTGTTCCCAGGCATGAGGCCTTCGGGTTCCCAAAGGACAAGTGAGGAGACCACGGCTCTGGCCCCCAGCCTCAGGGCAGACATGGCTGTCACACAATGCTTAGCCCTCACTTTTCCAGACTCTCCCAGGAAGGCCTGGAAGCGATCTGCCACCCCCTCAAATCCCGCAGGTGCCCTGCGACTTGATGTCACTTCACAAGAAGAGGAGGGGCAAGGGCTAGCCTTGTGGCACAGCGCATTAAGTTGCTGCCTGTGACACTCACATCCCATAGAGGTGCCAGTTCAAGTCTTGGCTGCTCCACTTCTGGCACAACTGTCCGCTAATGCATCCGGGAAAGCAGAGCAAGATGACCCACGTCCTTGGACTCCCGCCTGGGTGACCAGGAGGGAGTTCCAGGCTGCTGGCTTCAGCCTGGTCCAGCCCTGGCTGATTTGGCCATTCAGGAAAGGAACCAGTGGGTGGAAGATCTGAAATCCCTCTGTCTTTGCCTTTCAGATAAGTAAATAAATCCAAAGGAAGAGGTGGGGAGGTGGCAGGCAGCAAAGCTAACAGTGATGTAGACCAAGGCACTGTTGCTCCTGCAGGCCCCCCTCGCCTCTCCAGTATACACAGTTGGGCACTTGTTTCCCTGCTACAATTTCCCCATTTGGGAAATAAGGGGGTTGGACGGGTTTCCAAAGCTCCTTCCAGTTCTGAAGTGCTACACCCTTGCATGAGCGAAATGGGAACCCTTGGTTGCTATGATCTGAAAATATTCTGAATGTGGAGAATCGAATTGTACAGCCATGCAAGAACAAAATAATATGTTAATGGCTAAGAAGATTGTAGTTAATCCAAAGGAGAGCGAATGTTGAAGTCGCTGGGGTGTGTGTGTGTGTGTGTGTGTGTGTGTGTGTGTGTGCGTGCGCGGTTTCCTTCCTGGGGCCCACACGTATATTTTGCATCACTAATACAGTAATGAGGCTTGTGGCATCCCAGGGTGCCCAAACACACACACACACACACACACACACACACGCACGCGCGCACACACACACCATTTGCAATTAAAATGGGCTGAAAGTCTGCTACCGCTGCTGCCACTCTTTTTGCTTTCAGGTGGCTATTATATATTTGAGATTTTTATAGTGAAGGCATAGGGCTGACAGCCCCTCAAGGCCTCTGATATGGAAACTGGGACACATGGGTGGGTGGGGAGCTGTGCATTCCTTGTGCATTTTGCTGGCGAACATCAGCCGCCTCCACTTCATGACCCTCACAATAGCCTCCAGACAACGCTCTAGCGGATGGAGGGGCCAGACACGCGGTCCCAGAGGCCGCCCGCCTAGGACATGTGCTCGGGACACCCCCCTCCCCGCCCCAGCGCCCCGCGCGTCAAAAGGAACGCGCACCTGCCCCGCGCCCTGGAGGGGCCCACCTTTTTCCCCACCGGAAGGGTAGCAGGCGCGCACTGGAGATCTCCCGGTGGCCCCGCCCCGGGCCCGGGCCAGACCCCGGGTCCCCCGAGTCTGGGGGCGGAGCGGGCGTGGCTGTCCCTGCCTGCCCGACGGCCGCGCCCTCGCTCGGGCCCCGCGGATTGGCCTGCGCGCGGCTGCGGGGCGGACCGAGACCTCGCGGCCAGGTGAGGCGCCCCGCCCTCGGCGGCGGTGCCAGGTGCGGCGGTGCACGCGGGGGGCCGCGGCGGGCCGGGGCGCCATGGCCGAGTCCCAGCTGAGCTGCCTGGACGAGGCGCACGTGAACGAGCGAGTGACCGAAGCGCAGGCCGCCTTCTACTACTGCGAGCGGCGGCGGGCCGCGCTGGAGGCGCTGCTGACCGGCGGCGAGCAGGCCTACCGCGAGCGGCTGGGCAAGGAGCAGCTGCGGGACTTCCTCTCCAGCCCCGAGCGCCAGGCCCTGCGTGCCGCCTGGAGCCCCTACATAGACGCCACCCCCGCTGCCGGCAAGAGCAAGGCCAAGGCTAAGGCCCAGGCCCCCGCGCAGGCCGCGCCCGAGCCCGAGGAGTCCCTGGCCTACTGGCCCGACCGCTCGGACACCGAGGTGCCCCCGCTGGATCTGGGCTGGACGGAAAACAGCTTCTACCGCGGCGTGAGCAGCGTCACGCTCTTCACCCACCCGCCCAAGGAGGAGAAGGCACCACACCTCAAGCAGGTGGTCAGACGGATGATCCAAAAGGCCCAGAAGGTAGGCCCACCCGCCCCCTCCCCACCCTTCCCCATCCGCTCCCGTCTTGGCCATAGTGGTGGGGCCTCTGGAGAGAGGATGACTACCGGTTACAAGGTGTGTCGGGGTGTCAGGCATGGTTGCTACAGGGTGCAGAGGTGCGGCTAACCCTGCCCCTTGGGAGACCCCCACCCCACAGCCGGGGCGCTCATATTCACGCATCTTTTGGGGCCCAGGATTAGGGGCTCCAGAGGCTACCACGAAGAGCGGTGCCATGTTGAACTCTGCTGTGTACCTGCGTCTTGCTGGGCTCAGCTGCTGGGCCTGGAGGGGAGGACGTGTGTTTCCGGGTGAGTGGGGGTTGGGCATTGGATTGTAGGGGAGACATGGTTTTTAAGGCTGTGCCTTTGGCTAGGGGTGCCTGAGCAGAGTTTCCAGGTGTGTAGGGTGTGGTTGACCACAGGCGACTTTGACGTCGGTTCCTCCACAATGTCACCCCAGGCCTGAGAAGTCCAGCCTGACTCTCCAGTGTCCTGGACTGAGTGTTCCAGGAAGGAAATGGAAAGTGGGTGCAGTACCCAGCGGCCTGGGCGACAGGGGTCGGGGTCAAGCTCCTGCGGTAATGCCAACAAAGTCTCCGTTTATTTTCTCCTTCCTCTGTGCCAGCCATTGTGCCCAGGACTGCCTTTTCTGCTGTGGTAGATAGGCATTTTCCGTATTTTTGGAGAGAGAGGCAAAAAAAAATCAGGATTCTGAACAGTTCAGTTACTTGCCTGAGGACACCTAGGCTGGGCCAGGAATCACACGTGGAAGCCCTTTGCCTGTAGCCATGTAACCACAGCTCTGACTGTCCCACCCTGTGCCGCTGTCTGAAGCGATGGGGCAGGTGGCTGAGGGCGAGAGTTGACCTGCTAAGTACCCTATTCCAGAAGGCCACTAGGGCTTCTAGTCCCACCTGGAGTGCCAGGACTTGGGTTCAGAGCTAGGTCCTGGGGGACGCTAGCTGGTGCCAGGGTCCCAGGTGAGTGATCACCCCATTTGGGCTGACATACCTGCCCAGCCCTCGGGGTCAGTCCCCCCGGCCATAGTCCCTCCTGTCCCAACGACACGTGCTTCTCCAAAGACCCTGTGAGGTGGACAGGACACAGAGGCAAGGGGCAGGGCGGAGAGACACGGGTTCCTGGCTGCTGCTCTAAACACCGCACCTTCTCACCCACCGCCTGTCTCCCCGCCCAGCCTTGGCCAGTCCAACTGGCAAGGAACCCTGTGTGGCAGTGAAATTGGCTGCTTCCCCCTCCGTGTTTACCCCGAGGGAGGGAGTTTCCTGGTTTGCAGTGAGTCTGGCCTGCTGGGAGGAGGGGCAGGCCAGGCGCCTAGGTAGTTCCTGTGCTGCCCGGCAGGTAGCCTAGGGAGGGGTTGGAGAAGTGAGTGCCCTGGAGGCCCACCAAGAAACCCTAAGCTTCCCTTCGTCCTCAGGAGCCGCAGTGCCAACCCCTTGACAAACAGGAAGCAAGGTTCAGGGACTGTTGGCAGGGCTTGCCCGTAACTACAGACATGGGGGAGCTCCCATACCTGGCCCTTGGGAATAAGGAGGAAGAGGGGTGTGCCTGGGAGACACTGGCCTATATGATCAGAGAAGGGGCAGGGGACCGTGACCAGCAGGCGTGCACAGAGCTGTTCCCCAGCCATGCTGGGACCCAGGGCTGTGTTGATCTGTGGGGTGCAGGGCTGAGTTCTTAATCCCTGAGTGACCTGCTTATTTCAGTGTCCTTGAATGATGTCTTTTGTCTGATTCAACCACGGGTGAATAGGGTGCCTCCAGGGTGCAGGGGTGCGTGCTTCTCTGTGCCACACTGGCAGGCAAGGTGCTTTGCTGGTGCTTAGGCCACTCCCCATCTCTGGAACCATGGATCCCGGGGCAGCCTTGGTTCTCACAGTCGGAGGGCCCCCAGGGTGGAGCCTTGAAAAGAGGCCCTGAGGTCCTGAGGGTGCAGAAGGCATTAGTTCTCCTGGCACCTGGGTCCTTCTCCCAAGAGGGTTGCAGGAGCGACTGAGCCTGACCCCTGGGTCATCTGAAGACCAGGCAAGTCTGGTTGGGATGAACTGATGCCTTAGAAAGTCTCTATGTCCATTTGGTCACCAGGCAAATATTTGGAGGTCTACTGAGTGCCAAAACACACCTGAGTAGAAAGCAGGCCCATAAAATGCAGCTGTGCCCTTCAGTAGCCAGCCAGGCTGCTTACTCACCATGGTGGCAGTACAGGGTGGTGGGGGCAGGCAGGCACCGGCCCAGCTCTTAACTTGGGCCCAGGAGGTCCCTGAGGTGCTGAGCGCCTGTCTGCAGACATGTCTGGACGAAGCGAGAAGCATGCCATGACGTGCCAGCTGCTCATCCACCCACCCCTGCACTCAGGCTCCGTTGCGGCCAGCTGTGTGCACGTTTAAGGCCTCTGGACTGGCACATGAAGTGTTGCCAGTAAGAAAAACTGCTTGCTGGCACCTGACCTCAAAGACTGACCCCTGTCCCCTGTATTCCTGGGCCCCATCCCAAATGTATCAGCCAACCTGTATGTGTAATAGATTGATTTTATTTATTTGTTTAAAAGAGTGACAGAGAAAGGAGGATGCAGAACTTCCCTCTGCTGCTCCACTTCCCAAATGACTGCAGTGGCTGGAGCTGTACCAGGCTGGAGCCAGAAGCCCAGAACTCCACCAATATTCAGATCTCCCACATGGGTGCAGGGACCCAAGCATTTTGGCCATCTTCTGCTGTCTTCCCATACACATTAGCAGGGAATGGAATTGGAAGTGGAACAGCTGGGGGTTTGAACCAGTGCCCATATGGGATGCGGGTGTCACAGGCTGAGTCATAATACTGGCCCTGTGTAGCTCTGATGAGTTTATGAAATCTGAGAGTGCCTTGTCTGCTACCCTCTGCAAACCACTGTTCCGTACAATCTCCGTTTTACAAGCTCTGGATGCTCCCAGGCTTTTGGCCTCATGAGGTGGACCGGGGCCCCGCGGCAGCTCCCGCCCTCCGGTGAGCCTGCCCCAGCGTGTTCAGGCGTCTGCCACGAGGCCTGCGTGCCCCACCTGCCTGGGTTCTGCAGCGTCACCATCTTGGTGCTCCGTCCCTAGGCTGGGGAGCTGGGGTTCCTGAGCAGTAGAAATGAAAGACAGACTTCACAGTTGAGAGATCTGGATTCCGTTCCGCTGGGGCCACTGGCCAGCCGAGGTTCCCAATGGTTGGAATGGGAATCCAGAACTTCGAAAACCAGAGAGGGGCTGGAAGTGAAGGAGTCCCCTGAATGTCAGTTATCCCAGGTGACAACTGCCCCCTTCTCCATCTCCAGCAGGTGGGAGGAGTGTGGCTGCATTTCTTCCCAGGAGGTTGGAGTTCTCTAAGGGGGTGGGGAGAAGATGAGACACAGGAGTGTTTGGAGCTGCTCCTGGGGAGGGCTCTCCCACCTCTTTCCTCCCTGGAATGCAACAGGAACTGCCCTTTGCCCTGCTCATCCTGCCTGTCCATGCTTCCGTGGTGGGGGTTGGTGGGGACAGCTATGCACCTGTTTCTGAGAGTCCAGTTCTTCAGCGTGGGATGTGCTCTGGGCAGGGGAGGGGGTGCTGCTGGCAAAAAAGTGCAAGGACTTCCCCCTTCCTAAGCCAGGCACCTCCCCCTGCCCCGCCTCCCTGATCCTTTCCACATGAGCATGCAGCCCTTGAAAGGGCCTGGCCAGCTGCCCTGTGCCAGCCCACAGAGTCCCGGGTGATCCCGGCAGACTCCCTAGGGTCCATCTCTTCGGAGGACTAGAGCTTTGGTTGGGAGGAGGGGCCCCAGGAAACGGGTGGGGATGGGGTGGTGAGTGCTTGCGATGACCCTGGCCCTGGACAGCTTCCTCTCCGGCTCCTCTGACTTCCAGCACTTTGAGTCACAGAAACTGCTTTCCCAGAGTGGAAAATAGAAGGTGGGGACAGTGCGGAGCCATTTCTTGGCCTGTGCTCGGTCTGCTAACGAGGACCCATCTGTCAGGCAGAGTCCCCCGTCCGGGGAGGGGACACCGGCCAGGAGGCCCCCTGTGCTTGTCTGGTTACCGTGGACAGGTCATTTGCCTCTGCTTGGCCACCACGTCTGCACCTGTGAAACAGAGTACTTGGTGCCACATTGCTCCTTCGGTGTAATGCAAGGTGGTGAGAACAAGTCCTGAGCTGGCGACTGTGAGCAGATATGAGGGATTTCTATCTGTTCCTGAAGATGACAGACAGAGACGACAGACAGAGACGGCAGAGTTACAGAGACAGAGGGGGAGAGACGGGTCTTCCATCCTCTGGTTTACTCCCCAAATGGCTGCGCCGGCCACAGCTGAGCTATTCTGAAACCAGGAGCCAGGCTCCTTCTCTGGGTCCTGGTGCTTGGACCATCTTTTGCCGGTTTCCCAGGAGCATTAACAGAGAGTTGGATAGGAAGTAGGGCAGCAAGAACTCCAAACAGCGCCCCATCCTCAGCATCTGGGGGACAGCCATCTGCAGAGTCAAAGGCCATGGAAGGGCAAGGAAGCCCCCGGACATGTACCCAGGCCTGTATCCTGTGCTCTAAATCCAGGGTACCTTGGGAGGAATTGTCCTCTGGGGCCACCTCCAAAACACCTTCCAGAACATTCCAAATGTGTCATCAGCTGGACCCTACAAGGCTCTGTGGATACAGACAGATGCATGACTGGACCCTGGCTGGCTGCCCCCTTCTAGGCCAACGGGGGAGAGAGGAGGGCCCTTCATGCCCAGTGGGGGTAGCACAGGGCCACTGAGTGTAGGCAGTCTCCAGGAATCTGTGTTGTCCTCTTCGTGGCCACTTCCAGGTCCCCCATCGCTTGGCAAACCTTGAGGGCGTTCCCAGCCCGGCACCCCTCATCCACCACACTGCTCCATGTTAGCAGGTGGCCAGGTCGGCCTCTCCCCCCTTTGTTAGTGTGCACAAAGCAGAACTGTTCTGGGGCCGCCTTCCAGGCTGTGCTGGGAGAAGGGAG